GTACATCAGGGGTGGGCAATTCCAGGCCCCGAGGGCCGGTGTCCTGCAGGTTTTAGATCCTGGTTTTAGGTCAACACACCTGAATCACATGATTAGTTCGTTACCAGGCCTCTGGAGAACTGCAGGAGTTAATTTAGCCATTTAAATCAGCTGTGTTGGTTCAAAGACACATCTAAAACCTGCAGGGACACCGGCCCTCGAGGCCTGGAGTTGCCCACCCCTGCAGTACATGGTGGAGAGATTATATCTCTTGGCTGGCCTGGGAACGGCTTGGTGTTCCCCCGGACAAGCTGGAGGAGATGGCTGGGGAGGTCTGCGCTGGATGGATGGATGTTGATGTGTATTATATCACAATGAATTACCAACTGGATTTAAAAAGACAGCTGTGACTCTCAACAGCTCCAAAACCAAAGATTCACATATAGATTACTAATTTGATTGTTTTTTTTAAGGAATTTGTGACATCAAGGTACAGAATGTGGCTAGGGGTTAGGTATAATTGAATATTTTTTCTTACTGCTCTAATCATGCTTCTCTTTATTTAGTGGGAACCAGTAAAACCAGTATTTTACTTCATATTGTGGATATAAAGTGCATATCCCACAATAAAATTTGGCATAATCAAAAATCAAAAAATCTGGTGCCTAACAAACATGGATCCAAATCATGTACAACTAGATGACTGCTTTTTGTTTCTTTGTGTTTCTTGGCGTATTATCAATTATATTGTTAGTTAATTGATCGCATGGCAGGTTAGGCCTCCAGTGCTTAACAAATTTGTGAGACCATCTACCACAAAAATAAAAAAATATAAATATTTTAGAAATCTGTCAAAAACATCTTTAAAATGACTGATTGCACTAAACTGAATTCATATTTTTACACACCCATTGTATCTGGCACACTGGACAGAAATTAATCAAGAGAACATTCAAACACTAAAAAAAAGATTTTATTTCTGTCTTTACAGGTGAAAGTAAGCAAATGCAACCTGGCATCTTAATCAAAAGATAACAATGTGCTGTCCAATTTTTCCAGCTTTGTTTGTAAAACTTGTGGATATTAACAATAACTATATTTTAACATTAAAACCAACATTTCAAAAGCTTATGCGTATTGGCTGACTGGCCATTAGCCATGAAACATAACAAATGATTTGGGTTATTACCATTCATCCATCTTCTTCTGCTTAACCAGGGGTCATGGTGGCAGCAGCCTAAGCAGAGAAGCCCAGACCTCCCTCTCCCTGGCCACCTCCTTTTGCTTGTCCGGGGGCCGGGGAAACAGTAAGGCATTCCCAGTCCAGCTGAGAAATATAATCTCGCCAGCATGTCCCGGGTCTGCGCTGGGGCCTCGAAATAGGGGAACATGCCCAGAACACTAGCCTAAGGATAGCCATAATTTGGAGAAAGCTCACTTTTGACTCTTGTATCCACGATCTTGTTCTTTCAGTAATTACTAGTGATGGGCAGATGAAGCTTCATGAAGCACTGAAGCTTT